AAATATATGCAGTGCAGTGAGGAGGTAATGAGATCAAATAAAGAATAATATAACAAATTAATATCAGCACCAACACAGACTGACAGCATGCTAACTGCTAACTGGTTTTGTTCATCTCGATTTTCACTTGGAAGCAGTTGTGCAACGGGTCGACAAAAGAGGAAGTTTTAATTCTTATTTGAGTGAGTTCCCGTCAATATGGCTTCTTTATTAAACACTTTAAAAGCTGTTAAAATATCCCTTTACCTGAAATCTAGTCTGCTGGGACAGACAGCAAACAGAAAATATACATTCATGAATATATTCTACATACAACAATGTGAAGAATCATTTATATGCACCGTTTGATAAAAACCACAGCGATCTAAAAAATATCCATCTAACCCAGCTGCTGAAGGGAAGGCGCTCTGCAAATATCAAGCAAAATAATCTTCATACATTTTGGACAAAATCTCAGCTGCAATAAATCTCTGCGGTTACGTGTTCAGAGAACGAGGGCAGGGATACAGAGAGCAGAGAAAAAAGGGGAAATAGGAAACAGGAAAGAAAACAGCTCCAGTGTCCCCCAGCAGTGCAAATGAAATGACAAAACTACAGCCGAGAGTTACGAGAAAAGAAGCTTATTCCAGCATGAAAACTGTCCTAGAAATAAAGTTTAATGCTTATCACACAATGAAAGCCCCGTTTAACTCACATAACAGTGATTTTGTTTAAGGTTTTTGCATTATTAATTCTCACAGTGATGCAAGAAATCATTTGATATTAGTAGTGAAGTGTCTGAATGGAGCTCTAAATGTTGGACCATCATATTTGTGAAACATGCATTTGAATGAAGTGAATAAAAGCAGATCATTAACTGGTCGCTGAAAGCTTCTCTGTGAGCTGAGCTGCAGGACGTTAGCTGTTAGTCAGATGCAGTTCTGGTCAACTCCACTCATGTCTGCTCATGAGTGTGTGTCTGGACTTGGGGCGGTGCCAACAGTGTTTTAACAACATGCACACTCTGTGGAACACTGCCACCTAGTGTTAGAAGTGCTGACCTGCAGTAGTGCTGCAGTGTTAGATAACATTCTGTGTTGTTAAAATGCATTTTGGAAGGTTTTATTCTCTGACACTTCTGCACGTTGGTCTCCTTTAGAAATCCTGTCAAGATTTGCATTAAAGTTCCAGACCTCGTGTGCAGAGCGTAATTCCAAATGTGTGTTGAGATTAATTAATCTCATCCTTATCTGAGCAGCCACTAACATCCATTTCATTTATCAGCAGCACTTTAGCTAATGTGAGCAGCCAGGCTATCATTATAGGACACGAATCAGCACTTACTGTGTTTTAATTCAGCGTCACAGAGATAAAGCTTTGACTAATATCTGCACTTCCAGGCGTGGTTCAGACTCACTGCTTAAATGCATTTTAAAGGAGTTACTCATGCATGTAAATAGAGCCGACTCACAGCGTAACAGAGTCTAATGCAACGTAAAAACTACAGCCTTAAAAATAGAGTCAAATTAAAAGCTTTCAAACACAGTATAACAAAAAAAGGAACTTTATATGAGACACTCTACTGGGCTACACGTTAATTACCATTTTCTAATGATTGGTATCATAAACATGAGTCGTTATTCCACATTATTTAGAATTATTTTTTATAGCTTATGTAATGAATTACAATAATTATGAATGCTTGTTAAGTTAGCAAATTTTACAAATTACTTTGCTCCAATTATGACTTGTAATCATGACCTCAAGTTTAAATCATCCATCATCTCTACACCTT